GTGGATAAAAATGCCAAATCCAGTCTAAACATCTGGCTGACTGTGTGGCCAACCATAATAAGGGCAATTTGCTTTCCAACTCCACATAATAATCCTCTTTCTGGCCCTGCTGTTTTCTTCCTTTGCCCAAACTCTGTTATTACAAGTACAGAGCTGATGGCGCCTTTCTCGTATTTTTTTAAAGCCCTGAAGCTCCCTCATCTGACGAAAATAGTTATGTCTTGCTCTGGAACCAAGAGTCAAAAAAGGAAATGGGGCAGCTGTAAGAAGTATCTTACACTGGGCAGATTGAGCTATCTGTCATTGCAGGAAAAAGAGGGCGATTCAGGGGAGACCCTGAACTGCAGCCAAGATTCTGTTCAGCCCTTCAAGCTAAGGAATTCCAAGCAAGGCAATTCAAATTCTGCAACTTGAATATCGAATGGCACATTGCAGGTATTTAGTAGTGAGCCCTTTGGAGGGACAAGAAACAAAGCAATACATTCACCTCCCGCCCACTGACCAGTGGAAGATGATTTATCGTTACTTGGCTTCCTGTTTTGCTGCCAGGGTTGGGGCGCAGGGAATTCCCCCCTTAAACCAACCTTGATTCACAAGTTCCTATCATGTTGATAGCAAAAGTGCAGGGCACTTCCACTGAGGCTCTTGCTTTGTAAGCATGATTTTGACCTGCTAGGACCAGCCCAGGCACTTGCTTCAGGTGTTTCAGGATTTCCATGGAAGCAGCCGGTCATATAAGAAGGGCCACCTAGAATTGTTTGCAATATTGCAGAAAGTGCAACTTTTTAAATTATGTCAAGAGCTGAGCTGTTAAAGTTACCTAATTCTGCCTTCAATGTCTCAAAAAAAAAAAAAGGAACAGATTGTGGTTTGGGCAATATGCAAATTTTTTCTGTACAATCAGTTAATCAAAATGCAACTGATTAATCCACTTAAAAGTATATATACAGACATGTCATAGCAATCACTCCCTGGGCAAAGCAAGCTTTGAAGGTTTCTGTCTCATTTCAAAATTTCACAGACCCTGGACGGACACGGGTAGAGAGGCAATTAAAAAATTGCCGTGTTGAGTGATGGACTATGACATCCTCTTCCATCATACTTCCAAGACTTAAGAAGATTATGTGTATATAGTCATTGTCAAATAAGATGTTTGTTCAGCTTGTCATAAAGACTTGCCTACACAGAGTACTGATGCACTTTTAAAGCTAGGAAAGCAGGCATTAGCCTAGACCAGTGTTTCTCAACCTTGGCCACTTTAAGATGTGTGGAAGTCAATTTCCAGAATTCCCTAGCCAGCCATGCTGGCTGGGGAATTCTGGGAGTTGACGTCCACACATCTTAAAGTGGCTAAGGTTGAGAAACATCAGCCTAGACAGTATCCCCCTGAGATTTGCATGGCTCCCACCTTGGTCTTCTTCAAAACCCCCTTCAAACCTGTTTTTTTACCCAGCCCTTGGGCTAATCTGGATGGTGGGGTCCTTCACAGAGCTCTTGACTATGTGGGGATATTTTGATTTGTCTGTGTCACCATTCTATTTTGATAATTCTTGGTTTTTATCTGTTTTTAATATTGTATGCCACCCAGAGTTGTTTTGAACTGGGCAGTCTTAAAAATCCAATAAATCAAATTAAATTAACTGATAAAGGATAAAGTAAGTCACTACTGAAAAAATGAGCTTGAAGTATGGCAAATAAATAAATACAAATAGCACCCCACTGCACTGGAGGAAGTTAAGGTAGAGACAGAATTATCTGAGATGGCATCTCATGAGTAATTTTAATGCTAATTGGAAGCCTTTTTTGGACTTTTTTGCATGAAACAGAAAAGAAAACGAAATTACGATGTATGGATTTAATGACTAGAAATAATAGTGGACAGCAGAAAAAATGAAAGTTATGCGGTAAACTAGTGTAAATCTATACTTATATCTGTTGTGAGGAAAGTTGGAAGCCATTCTTTTTTGTATATTTTCTTTCTTTCCTTTTTTTTCTTTCTTTCTGGATTTTTGACTTTGTTCTCCCTTCCCTTCCTTCTTTATTCTCTATCTTTAATATTAGATTTTGTTAGTTTGTACTTTTCTTATCTTAGAATCTAATAAAGTTATTTGAAAAAAAATGAAATGCCATCTCATTGGCAGCAATCATAGCTACGTCTAGGAGTCCCATATTGAAATAATTATCAATGTGTGTATATATCTGTTCTGATATATAAATACATTGATAATTATTTCAATGTATACAGCCAGGGTAGAGCAATGGTATAAATAATGGACCATGGGACTGGTTAAGACCAGTGAGGATGATTTTTCTATCATCAGAGTAGGTTATAGAGTCTTTGTGTGGAAAAAGAGGATGGCTACTTGAGAGGAACAGAGTAATCTGGCATGTTAGGGTACAGGAAGAGCACAGCGGGCTTGTTCCTTATCCAATGAACAGGGATCTGCAGTTCAGACCACAGGAATTCCATAGCTGGACTGTGTTGAAACCTTCTTGGTGATTGCTACTAGTAATTCACAATTGAATTGGGCATTTGCTACGTCTTCCATCTATGAGAGAAAATTCCTCCTAAGGAAGAAATGTCATCTCCTAGTGGACCTGCATGTAGGCAGAGAAAAGATGGGGCTTACCTTGGTGCCCGTGATGGTTGGGGATGGGGAGAAAGGGGAAGGTTTGCTCTGCTGAGTCTAAAAGGGAGAACATGAAACATTCGCATTGACAATCTAAGACTGTGGCCCACCTCAAGATACAACTACTTCCCTAATCCCACTTTATACCTCCTGCTCCTGCCCAAATGTTCTCACCTGATGGTTTGTGTCAGGTCCATTTCTTTCTGTATCTAGAAGCAAAAAAGTTAAATTCACCACACAGGGTCCATACTAAAATAGTCTCAAGAAACCCCAGTTTGTTCTGAACGATCCACCCCTATCTCACATTCTTCATTATGGATCCCTCAGAGGCTGGTCCATCTGTTTCTTTCTCACATTCCTTTAAAGATCCTGCGCCTACCTCTGCTGCTTACAGTGACTGGAAGAACTCCATTTCTGGTGATGAAATTTCTACAATATTGCTGTGTTTTATCAAATATAAATCATTGAGTTTGGGCCACCGATAACCCCTATACATTGGGATGGATAACAGACTCCGGAACGGCACATGAAGAGGTGAGTTGGATAAAAAGGGAGGAAACTTCAAATATGCCTAGAATACAATGTATTGCCTAGTGTATTTTAAGTTCACACTCTTTGTTGGGGCAACTCCAAAAACAACATCACTGTACAAGTCTTATTACGGCACTGACATTTTTTGAAAGTGCTGATAAGGAAACAGAAGCAATCATTATTTTTGTGACACACAACTGTTCAATTTATTTACATATTTATATTTAGATATAAATAGATTATCCTTCTATGCTGGTCTATGACTGTATTAAACAACTGATTTGATTTGATTTATGTGAACATCCATAAACAAACTGTTCACCATTAACAAGTTATTCATGTGTCTTGTTAATGTTTGGTTTACTTTAAGAATCATCCTGGAATGTGGTGCTTCTCTTCTTTTCCCCAAATCAGAGTGGGGAATATTTTCCAGCTGGAGGGACAAGGTGGCTCTCAGAACATTCCCCACCCTCCCCTAACTCATTTCCTCCAACACCTTCTTTCAGAACAAGCTCTCTCTGTCCCACCTTCCCTTCTTCCACTCAGAGATGATTCTTCATGCCATCCACAAATGGGATAGTCCCATTCTTGCCAAACTATTAAGACGGAGTCACAAAGCACTTGCTCCCAGCTTCTCTTTGCACAGAGAATGGGACTGCCCAATGGAGCAAAATTGTCTTATTTTATTTTATTTAGTGATGGTGGTCCACAGGGAGATTTTTCATCACTGCTTCAAGGGCTGAAGTAGCACACAAACCAATAAGTAACAATACTTTGTACTAAACATTGCCTGATTCCTTCTACTTGGTCCTAAACCATTCTCCTTTGCTTATTTATTTTGTTTATTAAAAAAAAGATATGGCCGCCCAACTCACACACAGTGACTCCGGGCAGCTTACAGAATTAAAACGCAAATACAAAAAACAAATACCCTCCCCCCACCCCCCGCCAACAACAAAGTTTAGTTCCTTATCCTTTCCAGAACAGTAACTTTTAATCGTTTTTTCACTGCTTTGTTTCTCAGTGCACTGAGGATCTTTCCTCCCCTTCTTCATCACTCTCTCTTGTTCCCCTTCATCCCCTGCTTCTGGTACTAATTCCGATTCATGGCCAAAACTGGCTCATGCAATACCATAGTACCAAGTTATCTCAGCAGTATATTAATAGTATTTACTGGGCATAAATGATCTTTTATATCTTGCAGACAACTGGAAACAAAATTGTATATCTGAAAGACAATTTCTGGGTTCAAGACTGACTTTTCTGGCAAGGCTATCCAATGGAAACATGGGAGTCTGACCCTGCAGGACTCATCTTTATTTATTCATTCACTTGCTTATTATATTTCTAATATCTTCTTAAATTTAAAAGGAGAAAGAAAATGAATTAGCTTCAAAGAGGCCACAGTTGCAAGAGCGAAAGGGAAAGGTGTGTTCTCATTTCAATCAGCCTCAGCCTCCCCTGGAGCCTTTCGCTATTAATGAATGTATACATTCTTATCCTTCCCACCACACAAGCTTACCCGTGTGTTCTTCTTGCAGCTCCAGCCGCACCTTCTCCAGTTCCAAGGGCTTAGACATTCTTACTTCTATGAGAAAAAGGAAGGAAAAAGAATGGAAAGGAAAATGCAGATGAGCGCTGAACCAGACCATAAAGGGACACTAATTAATGGGATCAGAAATCAGTGCCAAAGCTATATGACATGGCTTGGACCAACAAACAAATGGAAAACTGAGAAATGGAGAGAAACCAACATGGATGGATTTAAAAAGAAAGAAATGAAAAAAAAAATAATCCAAAACTGTCAGGTTTGCCCATTCCTACGTTTTAATATCGATACTGCAGAATTCAAACTGTATAAACTCTGAAAATAAATGCCTAATATATGTCAAATTATTCTAACACTACATAACTTTGAAACTTCTGAAACTATCAGTTGTGGGTTTTCTGTGTTTTAATCTTTGTAAAGATTAAAGTTTACAACTTTTTTTTTTTAACGTAGCTGTCCGTTTCATACCAGTGACTCTTGGCAGCTACATTAAAAAAAAAAGTGGGCAAACTATTGTCTACATATTTTTTTCTAAATCTCCTCCCAGAAATAAAATAGTTTAATCTTGGTTTTCTTTTAATGAAAACTGTAATTCAGCAAAGAAGCTTAGAATATCCCTGAGGGATCCAGGCTACACAGCTATCTTCCTGCTTGGAACGCAGGAGTCCTCTCTCTTCTGTCCCCATAAGAGACCCTCACCTAAAACTAAACCTTCTGCTAAGCATGTTACAACAGATCTTTAAAAGATTAAATATTTTAAAACTTTTGGGCAATGAATGCATGGATGGATAAATAGGCAAAAGGGAAACAGAAATGAATGTATATTACATTAGGGCTAAATACGGGGGCTGCAGAAATCTGGAGGACTACTAGATTTTGCTACCATCCAGTGATCATCTGGATTTTTGCAGCCCAGCTAATGGTACCCTTAACTCTGTCAAGAATTTGTAATTCTTTCTATTTCTTCTTCAATATCTCAACACCTCCTCCATGGTGGGCAGGGAGCAATACAATAAAATAATACAAAACTCCAACAAAAAAAATAACAACAGGGTCCTCAAAAGACACTAAGGCCAAAAGATGCACAAACCAAATGGTTCTCAATTGTTTGTGAAATGCAAGCCGGGGTTGGGGCCATCCACACCTCTGGCAGGAGAGTATTCCAAGCAGTGGGGACCAGCACTGGAAGGTCTGTTGCCTGGTTCACAACCTATGGATCTTGTAAGGAAGGGGAAGCCCTCAACAGGCCCCCTCTAGATATCAGGACAAGATGGGCACATTCTATTCTAGAAAGGCATTGCCTGATATTTTCCTAGGACAGCTCCTGTTTTCAGGAATCTATTGTTGTGGGATGGGGTTACAATCACTGGTTTTAACACAGCCATGGAGAAGAAAAGGTATGTCACTGCCTATTGGCTTTGTGAAATGGCACTGATGCTACTGCTGGAGGGGGAACAGAAGGATAAGGCTGTTACCTTCAAGTCTTACTTGTGGTTTTTCCTGAGACAACTGGTTACCTTGATCAAAAAGACTTTGGCCCCAATATATCATTGTTCTTCCTAAAGCATCTTCTCCCATTATACCCTAGGTTGAGAAAACTAACCTACTTCTGACAAGTTGCTTCCATGATTGAGAACCAGGCTTATTCCCCTTCTGAGGCAGGATGCAAAGCCACTGTAGGCAGGAAATTTGTACCAAATAAGCCTCTTTTAACCCGAAGTCTGCCCATTTTAGTTGATAGATGTGAAAAGCTCCATCATGGGCCTGGGCTTGATGAAGCTTTATTTAGTGATTTCTTTCCAAGAAATTATGCTAACTGGTTGTCGATACTATTCCTAGTGCCAGCCTTCTCATTAGACAGACTGAGGGAATGGTCACTGGCAGCAGATGCTGGGAGTGGCCAGCCCTGACAATCTACCAGCTTGGATTCCCTGGCCGTTCTCCTCTTTCAGAGAATGCTACAGTGTGTGCTAAATAACCTGCCCTAGCCTAATCTAAACTCTGTAGTCTAATCTAGTGACATCAGGACTGGAAAGGGACACCATCCCATCACTAGCGTCCGGCCAACTTCTCTTCACGATCCATTAGATGCACAAGAATCTACAGGTTAGCATTATGATGTCATCATCAGCCACGATAATTCACTCTTTTCCAGCAGTGATGTTTTCCACTTAGTAATCCCATAATCACCACTTTTTAAAATCTAGCACAATATACTGGTTTTTTTAGCTTTCTGAATTAATTGGTGTCATCAACAAACACAACTGCTTTACTGTTCACCTTTTTACCCCAGATTGTTTTTCCTTAAAATGCTGCCCCATTTCATACAGATCTAATTCCAGTCAATGTAGAAGACAGGGAAGGAAGGAAGGAAGGAAGGAAGGAAGGAAGGAAGGAAGGAAGGAAGGAAGGAAGGAAGGAAGGAAGGAAGGAAGGAGCGAGCTACATTAGTGGGAGACGATCTGAACGTCTTCAGAAGGTTTTGCTTCAGCATCAGAATCTTCCTTTCAAGCTCCATTGCAGCGAGAGGAGGGAGGGAGGGAGGGAGGGACTGCTTTTCCTACCTGTCAATTACTTGTCCCTGAGTTCATGGATTGATAATAGGAAATTATACCACTAATGCTAAATCCTAACTAACATTATTTTTGTATTAAGGAAGCCCATTTCACATTGTTTAGCTGGCCCTCTATTTTTCAGGGAGTCCGAACTTTTTTCTCAAGCAGGTCAAAAACTCAGAACAAGAGGCCTACACCACCTTCTATTTCTGCACGTTAGGATAGAATGGCATAAAAGATACAGAAATAGCAAAATCTTTTGCAGATTCATGAAGCCACAGCCACCTATTCTCACCTCAGCCCTCAAAATTCCCCCACACCACCACCAAATAATGCAGCACAAAAGAGGCACACTATTATAGCATGTCTGAAGAGTGTCATCATCCACCATTTAGCCAAAAGTAAGGAGAATCAAAGGGTGGGGTTTGACTATAGTCCCCCCTTCACACACCCACACATTTGATGTCCCACCATTGCAATTCAAGCACTTGACTGGCTTGAAGTAGGGTGGAAAGACACCCATGCTTGCATTCCTAAGAGCCCAACATGACTAAGTAATTCAGGTAGGGCTGAACCTTCATAAGATGTAACTGAAAGTGATTGAAAATAACCCCCTCAGCTCATCTCCTGCAATGGAAAACTTTCATGAACATATTGCCCCTGGTCTCCACCTTCTTCCTGACCAAAGGAATGACATTTAACCTTGTCCTCAAGGGCTCTTCTGGTCCAATTCCACCCGTCCTGGCCTTTACCTTCTACCTCATTGCCTTGAAGGCTAGATGATAGAAAGTTAGAACGTTCCCTCCAAGTTGCTGCATCTGCTCCCACCCTCCCACTCTGGCCAAGCTTGGCAGTTTTTCTCTGATTTGCATAAACTTAATGAGTCATACTAATAAAGGAGATGAAGCCCGTTCGAATTAAGACAAATCTCAGCCCAGATCAGGAGGGGCACAAGAAAGGCTCAGGAACCCTCTTGGTTTTCTCATTGTGCGAACAATATCAACAAGCAACAACTGTATACTATTGAGTATAAAACATGGGGAGGTGTTTACTGATCACACAGGCCAGAAGCCACCAAGTTATTTATGCCAGCGGGTATGGAAATAGTTCTAACCACACCATGCCCTGACTACAGTTGACCCTTTTTAATCCCAATGGTAAAATTCTCCTTCCCATTGAGCAGGCTACCCTTTTCTAATGATAATTGAATTCTTCTACCTCTTACCTTTGCACCCCACCTTTCCTCTACTAGAGGGGTGCGCAAACTTTTCAGTGCTGAGGGCTGCATTTAACATTTGAGGAGAAGCAATGTAAGTAGGGCTTTTTTCTTCCCTTCAGAAAGTTCGAGAAAGTTTTTTTGTTTTTCATCTCTTCGCTCCTCCTAAAGGCAGGAAATTATATTAACAGTTTGCAGCAGTCATATTCAGAAGGTTTCTAGAGTTGGGGCTGCAAAGGTGCCCAGCTTTGCTCTATGGAGCCCCAGGGAGTGTATATGGGGAGCCATTTTATTTATCCCCATAATAAAAAAGCTGTGAAATCGTTTGGGTAGAAAGAGAATGACTGGCTCATGGTCAAGTCAGGACTTGAATCTTGGTCTTCCTACTCCCAATCCAATCTTCTAATCACTACACCACACTAACTTAATGAGTGCTTTGTTTTCTGGTCTGAGGATTACTTTTGCACCTGATCAAAACCAAGGGAGGAGTAAAATTTCTCCCAGTTTTGACAGGATGGTACAGAGAGCTGGCCATAGAGGTACTCAAGCAATCCTTATGGGAACTCAATCAACAGGACAGTTGGGTGGTCTACATGTTCCTGCCAAATGGAAAGGAGAATCATATTCTATCAGGTGGTTATCTCTTGGCTGTCATGTAGTGGCTACCTGGATTTCTTCAGCCCAGTTCTGGTAGCTCTATTGTGAAGATATGGAAGAAATGCCCTTGACAATGGATGGATCAAGCAGTCGCTTGCTTAGTGTGGTAAATGCTTAGCTGTGTTCTCCTATTCATTCAACACCAATCAGAATCCCACTTGGTCTGTAAGCAAACACTGAAAGCTATCACTTTTAAAAACTGGACATGAGAGCAGGAGTTCAAGCAGTGCCATCACTGATTTTTACCTTCATACTATGAGAAGGATAAGTCCAACAGATTTAGCCGAACATGCACCTATTAAAGACATGGCAGTCATACAAAAACAGGAAGGAAGGAACTAACCCTTTTCAGCATCTATCACTACATTCCTTCATCTACTTCGTATTAAAAAGCAATCCTTAGAAGATAGCCCCATTCCTACCTCCCCCTGCCTTCAGCCAGTTCTCAGGTTATGCCATGCAGAAAAAAAAGAAGCAAAATATTCTCAGAACTTGCAGCTAAATGTTGAGACTTGTAACTAAAGGTTGCTAGATAAAACTATCCTTTTCCAGAGCCCACCCTGCCTCTGTTTCTAAGGTACTCAGTTTTATTCCTTTTCCAGTCTGGTTTTCCATTTCACTCCTCAGAAAGCTAGTAGGCTGAAATATGGGACACTTCTGCTCCCCCCATGAGGTTCCAACCTAGATCCCCCCCCCCATTTTTCAACAGCCTGTCTGGTAGTTCCCAAAGCCTCCAGATATATTCTTTAGTGCAAGACTGATGCCATTCTAACTAGATTAGAGTTGGCACCTGGAGAACTAAATTCCCATAGTAAAATGAACTTCAGGAACACAAGGAAATATGTTTGCTATCTTTTTAAACTGACTCCAACAGAGAGACAGCAAATAGATGGAGCTTTCTCCTGG